AATGGCAAGTTAATGTAGGTCCTCCGTCCCTTTACAAAGTTGAAAAAGCCATAGGAAATCTGAAACGAAGGAGAGCAGCAGGCCCTGACAGGTTTACTCCTGAGATTTTTAAGGATGGTGGTCCAGTATTAGCAATGAGATTAACTGAGGTCTTAGGTAGAATTCGGGAACTGGACGTAATCCCATCTGACTGGTTTCAATCACTGATTGTGCCAGTCTATAAGAAAGGACAAAAGTCCTCTTGTAACAATCACAGAGGAATCAGTTTGACTAATATAGTGTCTAAAATATTAGCCTCAATAATATTTCGACGCCTAATCAAAGCTCGTGAAGAGCAGATTAGAGAAAACCAGGCCGGTTTTCGACCTGGACGTGGTTGTATAGATCAGATATTCACACTACGTCAGGTTCTAGAACACAGACACACGTTCAGACGCCCCTCAATGGTAGTATTTCTCGACCTTAAGGCGGCATTCGACTCTGTTGATCGTGAGGTTCTATGGCAGTGTTTGTCACTGAAAGGAGTACATTAACCTTATAAAGGCTCTCTACTCGAACACAACTGGTAGAGTGAGAGCTTATGGCGAACTGTCATCAGAATTGATTACGTCAAGTGGGTTTCGTCAGGGCTGTCCACTCTCTCCATTCTTGTTCATCTTTGTCATTGACGTGCTTTTCGAGATAACACTTTCCTCATCTAAATTTCCAGGGGTTGAACTTCTACCGGGAGGTTCACTTGTTGACTTATAATATGTTGATGATGTAGTTTTATTTGGTGAAGACGCTGACAAAATGCAGAGTCTTCTGACCACTCTAAGCAACAATGCAAGCATGTTCGGGATGCGATTCTCTCCCTCGAAATGCAAAATGTTGCTTCAGGATTGGGTTACATCGACACTCGAACTAATCATAGGGAGTGAAGTAGTTGAGTGTGTCGACCGCTTCACTTATCTTGAAAGTCTCATCAGCCCTTGTGGTTTAGTGTGTGACGAAATCTCAGCACGGATACAGAAGGCTCGACTAGCTTTTGCCAACTTGCGTCATTTATGGCGTAGGCGAGATATCCGTCTATCAACCAAAGGACGGGTTTACTGCGCAGCAGTTCGTCTCGTCCTACTTTATGGCAGTGAAACATGGCCGGTAAGAGCAGAGGATATCCGTAGGTTACTAGTATTCGATCATAGGTGTCTTCGAAACATTGCTCGTATATCATGGGACCATCGAGTAAGTAACGCAGTTGTTAGGAAACGGGCGCTAGGTAAGGATGGAAAATCAATTGGTGAAGTAGTGAAACTTCATCAGTTGAGATTGCTGGGACACGTGTTACACACGCACAAACGCCGACTACCTCGACGTACGATGCTCAATGGTATAGGAGTAGATTGGAAGAAAGTTAGGGGCGGCCAGACCAAAACATGGCACAAATCCATGAAGTCACTGACAAGTGGACTGAGTCATGTTGGTAGGTGTAGACTAACTAGTTGCGGACCGCGAGATGATAGCACTCGATTGTTAGAGATCTTGAATTACATGACTCAAAATCGTTTGCAAGGACGCAAGTGCATCCACTATTTGTGCTCTCCCAAATCCTAATCTTCTGAACTCTTCATGTCCTTTACTTTCTTTCCAAGTTTATTTCACTGGATTGTACTCCTTGAATAACATCTCCAAACTTTAATGTTCCCGATTACTGCTTATACTCTTACTCTACCTCTACCAATACGGGATTTGAATCGACAACTGCATTTCTGTCCTAATGCGGTATGACGACTTGAACTGATATACGTACATACAAAGTTCTACGTTGTTACTGACTGACTGACGAATATCAATAAATACTTCACACAATATCAAGTCACTTAATCAACAGGAATAGACCAGAATTAAGAAGTACATAAATTTGGCATTGAAAATTACTCTCAATGATTGACTACATGTGATTTATGATAGTTTCAATTGTAAAATAACACCATAAATTGGGGGACAAAAAAATCAGTTAACAACGTTTAAGTTTACTGGATATTTGTTAGTTTGAGACTCCTCCACGTAATGTATACATTCATGATTAAACTTTAATAAATATAACAGTCAATGAGTTGGTTTTTGGGCTGATTTATTGAGAGCTAAACTTATATTTTATGAATTTTAGTCAGTTCTCTTTATTGGGTATTAATCAATCTATACAAATGTTGGGTAATGAATTCACTAAGTGAATGGTTTCTAGTCAGAATCTTCATTATGAATGTCAAGACAATTCTAATGTACAGGGCTGAAACTTGGAGAACCACGAAAACCATCATTAAAAATGTACAAGTATTTATAAATAGTTGTCTATGCAAAATACTCAACATCCGTTGACCGAATATCATCAACAACAGCCTACTATGGAAGAGAACAAACTAGCTTCCGGCAGAAGAGTAAATTAGGAAAATACGTCGGAAGTGGATGGGACATATATTGAGGAAATCATCAAACTGCATCAAAAGTCAAGCACTGCCTTGTGCTCCTGAAGGGAAACGAAAAAGTGGAAGGCCAAAGAACACATTACGTCGGAAAATGGAAGCAGATATTGAAAGAATAAATAGCAACTAGAAAGAACTGGAAAGGATTGTTTAAGACAGGATTGGATTGAGAATGCTGGTGAACGGTCTATGGTCGTAATTGAGTAAGTGGATGGTTTTAATAACTTATTTTATATTGTGTTAAAAAACTCAATTGCAGAGTGTCTTCAATTTAATTTAATACTAAAATTAATTGACTGGTCTTCACGGTCTCCGAACATTTCATATACTTATACTAATTGTAGCTCTGATTGTTAGAAGGGGCATCGGTCTAGTGATTTCCGAAGAATTTCGGCTTCCATCATGAGGCTTCGCAAATTAGAGGGCAGAGTTTAAATGGTTTAATTTGTTTATTCTGATAAGCGTTTTTTAACAAGGTTGTTTTTTACGGGATGGAGCTGCTGACCTCATGCCAGATCCTACTCCTTCACTTGATCATGGAATCGTCAGTAACCCTAGAAGACAGACAGGCAAAATCCTAAAAGGGAACGAAAAAGAGGAGGGCCAAAGAACACACTGCGTCGGGCATTGGAAGCAGACATTAAAAGGGTGAATAGCAACTGGAAAGAACTGGAAAGCATTGTCTGGGACAGAGTCGGATGGAGAATGTTGGTGGGTGACTTATGCTCCTTCACAAGGGGTAACAGGCGTAAGTAAGTAGGTGAAGTATTAGTGATATTTAAAGGATTTAATTTAGATTACTTTTTAATTGACAATGCTATCTGACCTAGTGTAAATGATATACGATTTTGACTTCGTAGTGGCATATGATCTGTATTGTCTATCTGATTAATCCAGTTATTTATTAGAAGTGCTATGCAACAACACATTAGTCAAAGTGAAGGTGTACAATTATCTCTTTCTTATTATTTCGAATTGTAAACAAGGTTACTCAATTGAAACATTCTTCTTGAATTTGATTGGTGATAATGTTCTAGGAAAATCTATGAAACAACTTTGTTTTACTGCGATGATATATAATCTATTTGAATAGCTACTTTTACAGCGGAGTTTCGTACTGTAAACTGGATGGTTTGGTCATAGAGTTTTCATTATTCTCCTTCTGAACAACATCATCAGCACAAACTTCAGGTAGAAGTGAAGTGTTCGAATTTCTCCTCATTAGAATTACAGCTTGTCCTGTTGACCTTGACCTTGATTAGCTATCCATCCATCAATCAGAAAAATCACGAGTACATATAAGACCAAGAATTGATTCAATGGGAGATAGAACCAAAATTATGAGGCAGATAATAAGAGGTTAACGGCCAATAATAACCAGTCAAAAGTGAAGTTAACAGGACAAGCTGTCAGTTAAAACAGGAGAAATTTGATCACTTCACTTCTATATGAAGTTTATACTGATGTTGTTGTTCATAAGAACAATGAAAGCTCCGTGACCAAACCATTTATTTCAGAGAACAAAACTTCACCAAGATCATCCATATGAGTTACAAATCATCTTCACTATCTCAAAATCATATAAAAACATTTGAATAGCGTTTGTCCATTTGACGGACACTCTACTAAAATATACCATATAATTTGTGGTCACGACCTCGCCTCGAGAGATTCAAACCCAGGACCTACTGGTTTCGCGTGCGAACGCTTAACCACTACACCGCTGAGCCGACATCTGATGGTGTTAATATCTAACTTCAACTAATCCACGACATTGAGCGACATATCCAACATTGCCTTAAGTGAGTTACCATCTCACAACAGACCCGGTTGAACTCCACTGCTCACTGCTTCTCACTAGAAATCCAGGAAATAACTCTTGAAGCCAGTCACTAGTGAGTATATATTGATTCATATCAGAAAGGTTTTTGTGGATGTTATAGTAATTTCAATGGATGAGATCATGAATCAATTGAAGCTAAAGTTCCACAATAGGATGAAACAGTTGTCCAATGCTTCCAGGTTTTCCATGGTGGTCTAGCTTCAATTGATTCATAATCTCAACCACTGAAATTACTATAATCTCCACAAAAACCTTTCTAATTTGTATTCGTTCAGTGTAAACCATTTCTAAAATACTGTTAGCAACTTATAAATCTATGTAACTCTATATCAATGTTAGTGTATATGGTGACATAATGAACATACTAAATACAATAGTCTAATGAAAGACAAGATAGTGTATGCTAATCTGACCTGCAACTGAAGTCTTTGTTTATATATATGTATATATAAAGTATGTACAAGAGATAAATGCCAATAATATGCATAGTTCTTTATAGCAAAATATTTAACAACACTAAGAATAATTGAATAAAAGTAAAGATATGACATTGAACCTTAAGATCTCATAGCTAACGTAATAGTAAATTCCAATCTCTTAGAAACGAAAATATTTCTATGTTCCAGAGAGAGAGAGAGAGAGAGAGAGAGAGAGAGAGAGAACACACACACACACACACACACAAAGTAACTTACATAGATTTGGATTCATTTCGTTAAGAACTTGATACTTTACAGGTTTTATACTTTCACTTTGACTTTCATTTATTTCAATCATATCACTTGAATGATCTTGATTACAATCCATTGGTAAGATAGTTTCCGAATTGTTTTGTACATCATTACTTTCATTTTTTTCAGATTTTTCTTTTAATTGACCTATCAAAGAATAGATATAAAGATAAACTATAATTTTAATGGTGTCTGATAAGTCTTGGAAATTAAGCGCTATATTCGTTTCCTAAGGTATTCTGTAACCCCTGAACACGAGAGAGAAGACTCAAAGTATGCGAGAAGTACATTACTCTAAAGGTTCATTTTAATACAGAAAATATAGGGTTTTTATAATATTTTAAATGTCGTTAGGTTGCTCGAAGATTCTGGAAGGCTACTAAACATAGTATCAGTATAGCAATCAGCCAATCAGAACCTCTACATGTGACGTTTCACTTCCTTGATATTTCTGGCTAAAACTTCAAGTGAACACTGATTGGATGAAGCACTTCTTAGTGTTTCTTGATCCTTGCTTGTTTTTTGCGTGAAATTTTTTAGATCACCCCAACAGTGTCACTAAGGTGGTTTCTCATGAATAGTGAGAGAATTTTCAATGATCAAAATCAATCAGTGAAATAACGACCTATAGATTAATGCAATAATATGTTGTGGCTGAATGATGTTAGCCGTTGACTGATATAAAGAAAGATAACACTAAACTAGGTGAATAGGGTAATTCTTGGTATAATATAACACCCTGCTTATATATACAGATTATGGTCATTAGATGAATATGATAAAATGTCATACTCATTTTTTAAAATCTATTGAGGACTGACTGTTAGTTCAAACCATCAGGGATTGTAATATGCGATAACTGAGCTTTCAGCGGATTCCCATGTTACTGATATCTGTGAGTGTTAAATCCGAGCGAAGATTAAATCACGAGTAACTTCTGAGACCGATTGATGGACTAATACCATCTGCATATTCTTATGGTATAACTATTCAATAATTAGATTATATATATTTATATTCCTCTTATTATAAGCTTTATTTTGACCTATAATTTATTATTGTACGATTTACTGTTCTTAAGTTATGTTCAGTTTCTTGACTACTGCCTCCCATGTTCACAGCCACTTTTTCGCTTTATTGTGTACAAATGTTATTTCCTGTTTTATGGTGCGTTGCGGTCTGTTTGATTGATATAGAAATCCAGTATGTCTGAAATAAAAGGTTCGATTCGATTCGCATATTGGAAGCTGGTATTAGTGTTCTGGACTCAAGTGGACGGGTTAGGCAGATATAAGACCAAATATGACGCTAGGCTGCTCATATCGGTCGAACGTCATTGGTCTGGCACAGTGCTAAGATTGTATAAGTCGTATTTTGATTGGTGGATAAATCACGTGATAAAAAGCCGGACATAAAGTCATAACAGTGAGGTAAATAGTTTTTTCAGTGATGGTAATATAGAGAAGAAAGATTGCATATAAGGATATAATACAGGAAGAAAGAATTTGTTGGTAAGAAGGAACATATAAAGTAGTTTTAATCTCATAGTTTACGGGAAGACAAAGAGTGTATACACCGACGCTATTCTGATCAGTTCTTAGCCATGTCACCAAGAGTCTCCAACTAATGGTTACGATAGTCACGAGGACCTCAACTAAGTAGTCTGCATCTACCAACATAGCTCAGACCAGAATTTAGTGACTTTATGGACTGATGTCACATTTACGTTTGGCTGCCCCTAACCTTCTTCTAACCATCTCCGACACTAGTGAGCATTGCGCATCGTAGTAATCGGTGTTCAAGCACACGTAACACGTGGTTCAACTATCTCAGTCAGTGAAAATTCACAACCACATCAACTGATTTATCATCATCAGTCCATAATACCCTTCGTCTAACCTCACTATTACTTACCTGGTGAACCCAGTAGATGCGAGCTATATTTCCAAGGCATCTGTGGTCAAATACTATTAGTTTACGAGTATATTCTACTCTTAATGGCCACGTTTCGCAACCGTAAATTAGAACAGAACGAACTATCACACAGTATATTCATCCCTTAATTCATACACGAATATCTTGCTTTTGCCATAGGTGACGTAAGTTGGCCATAGCCAAACGAGCTTTTTGAATCCATACTGAAATTTTTCAGATGCAGGTAGATCTAACAGACGAATCGCAAATAAAAAGAAATACGTATTCACGATTCCAATGTTATCCACTATCCAATACAGTCAGTCAGTCAGTAACAACGTAGAACTTCGTATGTACGTATATCAGTTCAAGTTGTCATACTGCATTAGCACAGAAATGCAGCTGTCGATTCAAATCCCGTATTGGTAGAGGTAGAGTAAGAGTATAAGCAGTAATCGGGAAGATTAGAGTTTGGAGATGTTATTCAAGGAGTACAATCCAGTGAAACAAACTTGGAAAGAAAGTAAAGGACATGAAGAGTTCAGAAGATTAGAATTTGGGAGAGCACAAATAGTGGATGCACTTGCGTCCTTGCAAACGATTTTGAGTCATGTAATTCAAGATCTCTAACCATCGAGTGCTATCATCTCGCGGTCCGCAACTAGTTAGTCTACACCTACCAACATGGCACAGTCTACTTGTCAGTGACTTCATGGATTTGTGCCATGTTTTGATCTGGCCGCCTCTAGCTTTTTTCCAACCTACTCCTACACCACAAAAAATCGCACATCGGGGCAGTCAGTGATCGTACATGTGTAACACGTGTCACAGCAATCTCAACTGATGAAGTTTCACCAAACAGTAACTACTTCATTTGAAAAATATCAATCCATCATCTCAAAATTGACTGTTCCTTTTTCAAATATCAATTCATGGTCTCAAATTTCATTTTTCCTACATTTTAATACCAATTACTTTCCGTTCCCATTGTTTCCTTTTAGATCTTCTACTGAAATACATTCTATTCCTGAATATCATTATATATACTACTGATGTGGATATAAGTAGCTCACACCACAATACTAGTGTATGTAGATACTAGATGTTTATTAATATTTATAATTAAAAAAAAACACACATACCTTTACTAACCTTATTCATTTAACTAAGATGTTTATCTTAAAATGTCATGACAAACCTTGTTACTGGGTGTTTTTTTTTTAAAAAAAAACTTTCACACGGATCTTCATTGTGTTTATTTAGAAAAGACCGAAAAAACAAACACTAAGGTGACCTAGAAAACTTTGGGTTTTTTGAAAAAACAAACAAACAAACAAATCAACCTAATTAGTAATGGCTAGACATTGATTTGAAATTTTCATTTATAAATTACCTAATTCATGATTTCTAGTTTTGTTTAATCTTAAAAGTCTATGTCATATAAGTATAATTCTGATTGTGCTCAAATGATTGGGATACAAGCATCGGTTTCCATTATTTCATTCAAGTAATGGTGGTAGACAGTGTTGCCCAATCTCTCTATTCCTTTTACATTGATGACAGTTCGGAAGCAGTGCTGGTGGAAGTAGGCATTGATTATATATATCTATTACTTGAAGAAAATCTATGCAACTATGATCATACGGACGATGTTGAGATGACACTTAAGTTATGCATTCCGCGCCTAGTCAGTTGGCGGTCAGTATCTGTAGGTGTGGTATGTACATCTCACTCTTCAAATGGAATTTACCTTTAAAATACTGGAAGGTGCCTGAGCTTTCACTTAGTCTTGGTGGTCAGGAGTTAATAGTGGTTGAGAGGTTTTTGTTTCCGGTTGCTGTGTAAGTGCTTGTCGTGACGTGACTAATAAGATCATTTTGTGTATAACAGAAACTAGAGCAGCATGTACCAATCTGGGTTATCTTTGTGGCCTTTATCATGTTAATTCACTTTCAAAAAGTCCGGTTTACAATGTTTAAGTAGGAAGAATTCGCTCTATACTTGTGAAATCCTCCTCGTGTTGAGGGTGTTAAGCCACTCTCTGTGTTTGATCACTGTTGTCCAAGAAGTATTGCTAACGTTCAGTGGCAACACCATGTTAGTATTGTGAAGCATCTGTATTATATATTCGGGTAGGTTCTTAAAGATGATGTAACACAGTTGCTTGTGACTTTACCGACAAAACTCAAAATAAAAGCTAATAGTGGCTCTGTTGTAATTTTTGTTCAGATTTTTTTGAAAGTAGGAGGAAGTTCTGTAACTAAAAGGTCTCTTTCTCACGTAATTTAATAATCAAGATTGCGAGATGATTCTTACCAAAGCAATTCATTACCAATCATAAGGGAATAGGAATCAAACAATTTCAATATCAAAGTTTTTTTTCAAATGATATTTTTTTGTGGAAGTCAACTACAACCTACCACTACTCAAATTTAACAATCATTGTATAGTTGAATTCATAAGTTAATTAAAGCTAGACCACCACGAAAAGTATAGAAGCACTGGACGGCCGTTTCGTCCTCAATACCACAAAACACCCTTCTGATGATAATCATCATGTGCTCACTAGTGACTGGCTACAAGATGTATTTCCTGGGTTTCTAGTGAGAAGCCGTGACCAGTGGAGTTCAACTGGGTGTGTTGTGAGATAGTAACTCACTGAAGAGGATGATGAACGGTGGCGCAGTTTCATGAACTGGTTGAAGTTTGGCATTAACACAACTGAATGACAACTCAGTGGTCTACAGGTTAAGCGTTTGTGCGCGACACCGATAGGTCCTGTGTTTGAATCCCACGAGCGAGATTGTAGATACGCACTTCTGAGTTGTCACATATTAGGACGGAACGGCTGTCCCGTATTTCCAGGTTTTCCATGATGGTCTAGCTCTAATTGACTCATAAATTTAACTATTAAATTACTAAAACTCTCCACAAAACCCCCTTCTGATAATAGTCATTGTATAACTATGCTGAACGATAAAATTTCCCAGAAAAAAAAACATTTTAAAAGTATGTTAGCAACTTAAAACGGTTTTTAAATCACAACATACTAATGAGTCTACAAAAAATAGATGTTTAGTATTTTCAACAGAAAATTTCACTTTCTGATTTCACATTGAAAACTCATTGAGTAAGTTTGGATGTGCACTGCTGACGAGCCAAGCAATAAGACGAAACGGCTGTCCAGTACTTCCAGGTTTTCAGTGGTGGTCTAGTTTCAAGTGACTTTAATT